GCAAAGAACAAGTACCTGAACTAAAACTATACCATCTTATATTCACCTATGATTACAGATGTCATACTTTGCCACATTTTGCCATAGCTGTCACTGGCTGCTTCATCAGGCACAGTAGCCAGAATCATCATACTGAGAAGCAGACTTTAAGTCCCTGCCATTTTCTACTTTAAGACTGAATTGGGCAGGGCACCTGGTTGGCTCAGTTGGTTAAGCTTCTGACTCATGATTACTCATGATTTTGGCTCAGGTCTTGATCTCATTGGTCATGGGACTGAGCCCTGTACCAGGCTCAACGCTCAGTGGGCAGTGTGCTTGAGATTCTCTCCCTCTGCGCACGCATGTGTGCTCCCTCTCTCTCAAATAAGTGAATAAATCTTTTTAAAAGGGAGGGGGGAGAAAGAAAGAAAACTGAATTGTCCCAGTATTACCCCCCTACCACGATCACCAAAAAATGTCTCAGGGCCATGACTGCTGCCCCAAAACTAGAAGTAGGAAAATTTGTATCTGCAGGAGGGGTATGGCTTCTGAACATTTGCCGGCTGTTGGGTAGCTTTGAAAGGCCACCAGGAGAGCGGAGCTAAAGGATTTGGCTGTCAAAGATCTCTGTGTTTCTCCATATTTTTTAGCTTGACCCACCACCTCCATGATGTTGGCCAAGTCACTTGACAGGCTGTCCCCAGTGGAAACCCAAGAAGTGGACTGTGCACAGATGCTGTTCTCAGTAGCACCTTGTTTAAAACAAAAACAAAAAGCAGAAAAACCACCGACCCTTGGGTCTTTTACCATTTCCCACAATTGTCGTAAATTTGTATGCATTGTGCTATTTCTTTCCTTCCTTTATTTCCCTAAACTTAGTGATTCAACTGAATCTCACAAGGTCCTGAATTGGAAATAGGGAAAGGGGCATTCCTCTAGACCTGCCCTTTTTGTAATAGTGTGGAAAAGAGGAGTAGGTCTATAATCTGGCCAAGTGATACTCAAGTTAAACAACTCCCTTAACTTCTGTACACACACATGTATATGGTAGGATAGGAACTCTAATCCTGATCATCTCACTCAACTTTTTTCCTTTCCATTGTTCTATCCCTCCTCTCGGGAGCCGAGCAGGTCCCTTTAGAGAGATCACTTTTGTCCTGACTAACTCTGCTACTTGAGGAACTTCAAAGATGGTCTGAAGTTCATTATAGAGCTAGGACTGGCTTTGCAGGCTTCCTCATCCTTTGATCAGAAAGCATCTAGAACATTAAAGTTATGTACAAACTTAGATTATTACTTAATTTATATGCAGAGATAGCTTTTAATCATTCTGTTAGGTCTAAGGATCTGAGCCAAGGTCATCTCTGAAGAAGAAAATAATTTACATTAGCTCTTGCCTGCGGGAGTGGGTTTATCACTCTGAGTGATGCACCCTCCAGCGCCGTAACAGGCAAATGACTGGCCCGTGGCTGGAGGTGGCTGTGTGCGTGGGAGAGCGCAGCACTGCGAAGCCAAAGACCAAGGCATTGCCACTTTTTCTCAGCCTCTACTTCATTGTCTGCAAAAGGAGGCCAAGTACTCCTGCATCTTAGGCCTTTTAGAGATTCAAATAAGAGATGTAGGTTAAAAGCCTTTGTGTGAATAGTCCATCCCTGAGCACATCTGAGGAGTCAACATTTAAAGGAGACCCGCTGGAGCTTAGTGGTTAAGAGCTCAGACTCCAGAGTCAGGCTACCTGATAGGAAGAGACCATTTTTACTTCTAGGAAGATCACTTTGAGAGGAGACTAGTGTCCAGGAACATCTCTAATACAGCTTGGGCAACCTGACCGCGGTCAGTGCGTCTCAGGGTTGGTTGTTTCACCATCCCTGTCAAGCCGGTGGTATTCAGGATAAGGTCACCCACCTGAATTATCCAGTGCTTTTTGGAAATCTAAACCCATTTGAAACCTTGATTGTCAGTTGAATTCAGTATAGGCAATCAAATTACAGCATTTATTAGAAGGAATTTTCCTTATGAGCCCTAAATTCTTTTAAAAGAGATTTCCAGAGTCTTAAATTAAATTTCTTAGCATTTAAGAAGGAGAAAACAAAGAAAAAATAGCCTTGCTGACTTGGACTGGTCAAACTGCTAAAGGTTTGGTTAATAGTGGGACAAAGAAAAAGGAAAAACTGTTTTCAAGATACAAAAAGGCAGTGCAGGCCTGCCTCAGAGATATTGCCGGTTTGGTTCGAGGCCACCACAAAGAAGCTAATACCACATTAAAGTGAGTAAAATGAATTTTTTTGGTTTTCCAGTGCACATAAAAGTTGTGTTTGTCATTTCCTTCATAATCTCTTCCTTTGCATCCGCCACTTGGCTAACGGTTGGCACAAGAGGCCAAGCTTTTGGCCTCTTTTGACTTTTGATGTGCCTTCCTCACTAAGCTTAATCATTTCTAGCTTTGGATTTAAAGTGATGAGACGTGCAACTCTTAATTTTACTTGAGCACTTAGAGGCCACTGTAGGGTTATTAACTGCCCTGATGTCAACATTGCTGTGTCTCAGGGAATGGGGAGGTCCAAGGAGAGGGTGAGAGATGGAGGAATGGCCATCAGGAGAGCAGTGGAGCAGTCATAACGCACCCAACGTTATTGATTCAGTCCGTGTCTCCTGTGGGCGTGTTTCGTGGCACCCCAAAACAACTGCAGTAGCATCAAAGATCACAGGTCACAGATTGCCAGAAGAAATATAATAATGACGAAAAGTTTGAAATACTGCAAGAATTACCAAAATGCAACACATGAGGCACGAGGGAAGCAAAGGCTGTTGGCAAAATAACATGGGCAGACTTGCTCGATGAAGGTTGCCACAAACCTCCCAATTTGGAAAACAAACACAGTATCTACAAAGTACAGTCAAGTGAAGTGCAGCCAAACGGGGTATGCCTGTATTGAAGTCCTAATTTGGAGACAAGACAACCCAAAGTTTACCATTCTGATGCCATCATTTACTGAGAAGTTGGCAGGTTCCTTCATTTCCCTGAGCCTGTTTCCTCATTAGTAAATTGAGCATGACAGGCACTACTTTGGTTATGACAACTGAGATAATGCACTTACAGCATTTAGCACAATTCTTGGCACATAGTAAGTACTCAGTACATACCACTTACGTTATTTTAGGCAAGGATGACTAACATTGTGTTTCTAAGTGATTAAGAAAACTAAAAAAGCTGGTGGTGTCTGTAATTAAATTTAGAATTAGGAAGAAGAGGTGGTTTGGTTTTATTTTGTTGTGTATGTGTAACTGTTTAAAAATTAGAACTATAGGCTGAGATTCTTACATGGCCATCTAGTTCAGGGGAGCAACATTTGTTGACTCTGCAGGACCAAGACAAAGATGGACCGTTGCTTATACAGCACTTGACGATAAAAACAACTATTGAGGTGCACCTGGTGGCTCAGTCACTTGAGTGTCTGACTCTTGATTTTAACTCGGGTGGTGATCTCAGGGTCATGGGATTGAGGCCTGTGCGGCATCCGTGCTTGCCGGGGAGTCTGCTTGGGAATTCTCTCCCTCTGTCACTCCCTCCAACCTTCGTGCTCTCTCTAAAGTAAATAAATACATCTTAAAAAAAAAAAAAAAGCTGGGGGAAAAAAACTATCAAACATGTATCTGTTAATGTGAGAGCCTCACTATACAGCTAGCCTCCCATATCAACATTATTACCATCCCACCTCCTAACCACTTCAGCACACAGTGATCTCTCCCAGGAACTCATAAAGCTTACTGACCCCTTTTCGGCCTCAAAAAAAGCACTGAGGCAGTTAATTTAACCTGTCCTGTGGCTCTTGTCTCTACTGGGCAGTGTTCAGGGCCAATGCACACTGGGAAGCTGGGCTGGGACTCCTGGAGAAGGACTGGAGCTCAAATCTTAGCAAGGAAGCATTCTTTGAAAATACTCTCCTACATATTCAGGAGAAGGTGCCAATACACTAAATGTCTTTGGTGTTTTGCTGTGTTACAGCCTTAGAGAATAAATGGATCAGGGTGGGAAATCAGTGCCTCAGCCACAGTCCCCAAGAATTTAAAATTGCATGAGATGTCCTTGAGGACCGAATGGCAAAAATCTTAACAGACATCGGGATGCCCGGCTGGCTCAGTTGGTGGAACATGCAAGTCTTGATGCCAGGGTTGTGAATTTGAGCTCCATGCTGGGTGTAGAGATTACTTAAAAATAAAATCTTTAAAAGAAACATTCTTAACTGGGCTTGGTTGGTTAAGCATCTGCCTTCAGCTCAAGTCATGGTCCTGGGGTCCTGAGATCAGGTCCCCCACTGGCCTCCCTGTTGAGTGGGGAGTCTGCTTCTCCCTCTCCCCCTGCCCTTCTCCCATGCTCGTGCTCTCTCTCACATTCTCCCTCTGTCTCTCAAAGAATAAAAATCTTTAAAAAATAAAAATGAAAAAAAAAATCTTAACAGACATGACCGGGAACTTCAAATAGTGCCCATGTTGAATGGAAATGAGCAATGGAGACAGAGATGATTTACTTGGGCCCTGCTGAGGAAATAAAGAGAAAATAAAGGAATGAGAGAATATAGATAAAGACATTTCTAAGAGAAAAATAAAGGAGTTTCTGAAGGACTAGGTTTATCTCTTACTCTTTCATGTAAAACACTGAGACTTTCTCTGGGTTTAGTAGATGTTCGCAGAGCTTCTGCTATGTGCAGAGTAGTCATGGCGGTATCGAACATTTGAGAGCTTACTATTCCTAGGCCTGTTTCCTCTGACTAGCAAAGCGGTCTTTACCAAGACAGACTCGTCCGCAGTGGAAGTAGAGATGGGGGTTGGTCTTGTTTGAGCACTAAAGAACACATGGACCGGGGGTGGGAAGCCAGCATCTCATCCTATGCTCCTCACAGAGTAGGAAGTTGCAGAGAGACGCTTGGGAAACAAAAGGCAGGAAAATCTTAACAGACTCCCTTTGCACTGAATCCGCTGAAGCCTCCGAGTCCCCCACTGAAGGTCTCCTCTGCTTGCAGGCATCAGAAGTTGAGAGACAACTCTCCATGCAAGTCCATGCCCTCAGAGAAGACTTCCGGGAGAAAAACTCCTCAACCAACCAGCACATCATCAGGCTCGAAAGCCTTCAGGCTGAGGTGAGCCGCCCCGCGGGGCCGCGCTTACAGAGGCAGCGCTTTTCTCCGTGGAGGCGCCGCAGTAGGTCTTTCGGATAAGGAGTCCCCTGAACTGGGAGACAAAACCCTGCTCTATCTAAAATCTCTGAAGAGAGATGTCTCTGTGAGAAATTCAAGGGGGAACACTTGATTCATGTGGCGCTGGGTCTGGAAGAGTAAGGTTGCTCAGAGTTACTGCTGAGTGCGCGGAAATCATGGATGACCTACTTTTACTGAATATGTGGATCCGTCCAAGAACATTCTTGCCGACCCTAAACAGACGATGGGAAAGAGAATTTCCCCTTGCTCCATGCTATTTAGATCCAGTTCAGTCCACCTTAATGGGACCTGTGATATTCTCATGTACAAAATGAGGGTAACAGACGTAGCTACTCCATAGGGCTGTTGTGTTTGATGAGTTAAATCAGAGAAAGCACTCCGTGTGGAGGGTGTGAGCCAGAGCATGGCAGGGTCTCTGGCCCTCAGTGGGCCAGAGGAAAAGAAAAAGTAGCACTTAGTGGACAACCCTGTGAGAACCCAGGTGTGGGAGGTGAGAAGAGGGGAGTCCTATCACCAGCCCAAAGGGGGGCTCTTCTCTACCCCTTCAGTATTCCACCTAATCTGATCCTGATGGCCCCTAAGCCGATTGTCCAGAAAGTAACCCTTTGGCTAAGTTCCACTTGAAGGCACAGGCTAGGGCCAGATGAATCACACCCTGACTCTGGTTAAGGAATCAATAGGTGTGGTCAGACCCAGAGAACCCCAGATGGCTGCTTCCCTGCTTTGGAAATGACCTGAAGATGTTTTTCCTAAAGTCTGTCAATGTCTTCTCTTTTCTCCTGCCTGTCATTCCCTTCCTTTCTCCCTTCCCTTGGAAATACTACTGGTATTGAGCAGCAGGTTCTTGAAGTAAGTAGTTGGTTCTGGTGGGGTTTGGCATGCCTGTCTGTGACCACTCGTGTGCATGACTTGCCGTTAAACTGCCTTTGCCAAGCTCTGACTCCTTCGAGTTACCTGTTTTCCTCTCCCCTCTGCTTACTATTTTAAGACCCTCGTGACTCAGGGTCATTCCCGGGAATGTTAACTGGCAGATTTGATCACAAGTTTCAGGGTATGTAGGCTGGGGTGATGGAGGGTCGATGCCCTGCTTCATCCGGCAGCGCTGCTGCTTTACAAAACCAACGTATGACGTTGGCCAAGCACGTTACTTCATGGAGCTCTGACTTCTAAGTTTTTTTAAGGGGCCAAGATTATCTGTCAGAACTATTAAATCATTATTTCACTGAGTGGAACTTGAGAAACAAAGCTTATCCATGGAAGGAAAATGTAAAGGTCAGAGGGTATTTAAATGAAAATCAACTAGAGTAAGAATTCCTTCACATGGGTAACATGCTTCAGTGTGGGGAATGGTGGCCCCATTCACAGAAGAGACCTACTCCTTTTTGTCCCTCACCCAGATGCACACTTGAGACAGTATTTCTTTGTTTGGCCAGATACCTGATCTCTCTGGACAAAGACCACATACTTCCATTTCCCCAGGACAGCACCCTATCTGATTGATCAGTGGCCAGGGAAGATCTGTGCTCTCGGAACAGAATTCTGGTGTGGACAGCAAGAACAGACAAAAAGCAGAGGGAAAGGTGGATTTCAGAGAACCTCAGACACATTATACATTCATTTTAAAATCTCCCTAGGAAAGGGTCGAAGTTTGGTCCCCTTAATGGATTGTTCTCCAAGCCAAACTGGAAAGAGTGGAGAACATCTTAACCATGTTGGGAGCAAGGAGCTGGTTGAGAGATAAGTTCAGCAGGGAAATGATAGATGCGAGGAGCCAGTGGGACCTGCATGCAGGTCTTGGGAAGGTTTCCGTGGCCCCTTAGCGGTGCAGTGTTCTTGGGGTGAAGCATCGCTGGCCCATGGAGTGCTGGCATAGCTCCTGAGCCTACAGACCTTGAGGCCAGGAGATTTGGCACCTCTTTCTTTTTTGCCTTTGTTTTCTCACTGACATTGAAAAGACTAGACAGGCCTTCCTAAAAGAAGATTTATATCTCTTGAGACTGGCTAGATATGCAAAGTACAAACACACCGGCCTGTTTAATAAAAGGAGTGAAATTCCTCCTATTCACAAATGACTTGCTCAGGCAAAAAGACACTGAGTAAAATCATTTACTCACTTATGCCCATGTCCTGTTGCTTCCAGGACACAGGCTGAGGCAGGCACTACTTTGTTTCTGTACCCTGCCACTCCCCCATTGACTTGGAGAACCAGGTCTGAACTGCAACCTCTAGAGCCAGACCCGTTAGCGGGGTGGGGTGGGGGGTCAGAGTACAGAAGAGAGCCATAAAAGTATGACAAGACAGCAGCTCAAGAGGCTGTTCCAGGCATTTTCCTGTGCCCATGACTTGAGAAGGAAAAATGGAACCACAGTTTGGGTTCCACTCCCCCATAAATTATGGGGTTGAGGTGAAGTTATGAGCAGGCAAGGTGGAGCCCTTCTCTGTCTTATCTGTGGAATTTCCAGAGCACTGACCTTCCCTTCCTCTGCCTGGCATCCCACATTCCAGCTTCCCAAAGCTCATCTCCCACCCCTTCCCAGACAGGTTTCTAGAAGGGAGGGGCTTTCTCTCTAGCTTGGGAGTTCACAGCTGTTCTCTCCGAGATGGGGGCACCGGGCCCCTGGGCAGAGCACTTGGGGAACATCTGCCTTCATGTTTGGGGCTCATTCCTCCCTTCCTGGTCATCAGCCTGGGTGTAACTGCACACCACCCTTGTGACTCTCCACCCTTTCAGATCAAGATGCTGTCGGATCGGAAACGGGAGCTGGAGCATCGTCTCAGTGCCACCCTAGAGGAGAATGACCTGCTCCAGGGGACTGTGGAGGAGCTACAGGACCGGGTGCTGATTCTGGAGAGGCAAGGCCATGACAAAGACCTACAGGTACTGAGACAGAGAAGCTGTCCTATAAAACCAGGGCCAGATTAAAAGAGCACGTAGCTGCCCACCCTGCGGGAAAGCTGATGGGCCAGCACCACCATAGGGGTCAGGAGAAGGTAAAGCCGAGGTCTCTCTACTGGCCCTGTTGTCGTTCTCCTTGGGCACCCACCAACTTGGCCAGTCTGGCTCTGCTGAAAACAAACACATCGCTACCCACAAGTCATCCTTCTAATCTGTTCAAGCCACTGGCCCCTGGAGCAGTTTCAGTGAGTTCTTTCTGGGCTATTAACATGACTGGAACATGAGGAGTGTCATTCCGCCTCCTAGGGTTTGTGAAATCTGCTAGAGGTTTCAGAGGGAGCCTGTGATTTCCTGTGCGTGGCTCACAGTGCTCTCTGCCGCTGCTTCCCAGTCTGATGCATTTAGCCAGAAATCACGAAGCTGCCCACTGAACACAGCAAGACTCCCCCCTGCTTCTGACAGTGGCTACAAAAGGAATAGGCTGACCCTTTGTGAACTTAATTGGCTTCTTTTTCCTTCCTAAAGGAAATCGCTTCGTGGCCACATTTGTCCTTATCTGGGACCTGCCACCAGTCCCCAGCTAAATCCCCAGGCTCACACTTGACAACCCCCTAAACAAAAAGATAATTGCTCCTAGCCGCCCCGGAAACAGAGTATGACATCTGCTACAAAGGAGCACCTGGGGCCAGTGGCTAAGAGCGCACCCCTTCCCTTGGGCACCCGCTGAGTTTGTCAGGCAGTGGGAGATTGCAGTGGTGTCGTTCGTGTGGGGGCGGTCAGCCAAGTGTGTGCCAGCACCAGGCAGGTCCCTCCCCAAAGACCAGTATGGCAGGACCCCCTGGGATCAGCGACTGGCTGTTGAGGAAGACTCCAGGATGTGGGATACGGAAACATCTTGGGCTAACATCGATTATTGATACCGTCAGCTAAGTTGCCGTCTGAGTGATTAACCTCTTTATGGGCAAACGAGCAGTTTTCCACCCTCTGGGTTTTTTGCGCCTTCAGCTTGGGATGCTGCGTGCAGTTGGGCCTCCACAGACGTTGACTAGAAAATGATGCTGGCGGACGCCTCACGGCCGTTTCCAAAATGGAAAGGAGTCAACTCATATTCTAAGATTGCCGTGCTTAAGAGTGATGAATGTTTGTATACTTCTTTACAGGGAACAGAGTGCTTGCTTTTGCATACATCCTGAAACTATGGCTTAGAAAAAAGTGAATCATTTACCAAATTAGTGTACTAAGTCCTTGGCTGAAGTGAAATTAGAGCCCTCCGGCCTGCTTCCCGTGGTGCTCAGTGACAGTGTCTAGTGCATACCTTGCCTCCGCATGTCAGCATCTCACCAGCACTTCTGAACCCCTTCGAGGCACTCTCCTGAGGTTGCACAGGTAGAGTGTGGAGGAGAAGGAAAAGAAGTACAGAAAAATGCAGAAAGACCCTTGCCTAAAAGACCTTTTCAGTCTAGCTTGAATTCACAAATGAGAAGTCCTTATCTCAAACCAAGAACTGGGGACCAAAGGACGGGGAACAGCAGGACCGGTGTGTGCGATCCAGCACCTGGCTAATGCCATGTGCGTGCTCTGGCAGCAAGAGCCCCAGGTCAACCTCGAATCTGCACATCTGCTCTCTTCCGACTGAACTTTTTCAACAATGAGAGTGTCGCTCCTTGCATGGCCTGTATCAGATCAGGCAGTGCACACTTGCATTTGGAGAATATGTGTTTATGGGCTGAATTCTTATCATTCCTACCTTTTTGTGATTCTTTTCCTTCAGCTCAAAATGAAATTTTTCTTAAGCTGCTGTTAATTACCAGTGTTGTCCAGAAACCCTTTTCTGTTGCTAAAATCGCCTGTACTGATACAGGAATAAACATGCCAGCTTACTCAGGTGGTAGTTGAGAGGTCTAAGTCAGACATGTGAAATGCAGAGCTAGTGGCCTTGGAATGTGTCTAATTCCATGATTTTAATCCTTTGTTTCAGATAAAGGATGAGAGGAAGGCTGAGTAGGCAGAGCGTCAGGCCTACATAACCAGTGTAGCCCCCTTGAATCTAGGCCACCATGTGGCTGGGTTCTGCTGTCTAATGCAGATTGTCTAATGTCTAATGCCGACCAACTCCAGCTTTTTTTTTTTTTTTTTTCAGGCTGACAGTAGGTAGAAAAATTATTACTTGTTGAATACCCAATAAATTAGAAAACTGGACATTAATACCCAGTAAAGGATTTCATCCCTCTAAGGATCACTTAAGTGCCCTCTACGATTCATATACCCCTGGGCATCTTACCAGTGTGTGCAGGGACCTCATCCCAGGATTTCATCAGCAGAAAGCATAGGCCCCACTCTGTGGGGTGACCCAGGAAACAGAGCGCCTGCAGGATCAAGTTTGCTCTGACACTTAACATCATAGTATCTTAGTTCCCTCAGTGCGAAATGGGAGGTATTTCCACCTCTGCCAACTTGAGGGGCATGAATATTGTAAGCTTAAACTAAGGCATTTGGTGTCTTCCCTTATCTATATATACATAGAAATATATTTGAGTGTCATCTTCGTCATACAAAGGATGATATTTATAATTTTAGGGGTTTCTTGTATTTAATAGACTCCTCTGGTTTGGTTTTTCTACATGGGTTTATGGATCAGTCATTCATCAGAGAGGGCAGACCTGTCCCGGTCTTTGGTTCTCTTGCTGTTATAACTAATTAAGCACCCTCGAGTGTGCATGAGTAATTGAACTAATTTTGTCCAGTGCATGAGAACTTGTACTTGTCTGTGCTGAACTTCTCCTGCTGGGATGTATGTGGAGTTGCCTCGAAAATAATTGTAAAGCATTTTGCCAACATAGTATACCATTTGTGATTGTGCCAAATGCTTCCTAGGAATTTTTTTTTTTAACCCCAATTTCTTCTGAGTTTTCTCAGAACTGGGGCTGGCGGAGATCCCACTGGACCAGCAGGCATTGCTGACCCATGGGAACCATGCAGACAGAGCAGGCTTGCCCACTCCTTTTTCAGTCTCAGAGCAGCCAGGCTCCAGACTCTGCCTGGGAAAGGCTCATCTGATCACTGGTGCCATTAGCCGGCCATTGTCTGATACTAACCCACAGAGGCAGGGCCCTAGGGCACCTAAGCAGCGGGTTGGAGGCTCTGCAAAGCAGCTCGCTGCACTCATGAGGACTCCAGAGCTCAGAGCTGCTACCCATTGGCGCTCAGGGCCTGCATCTCTGCAGGAGCCACAAGCCTATCTGGCCAGCAGTCTGGAACAGACGGAACCATGTCTGCTCTCTCTATAATGAACAGGGGTGACCCCAAAAGTCCTGTGTTATGGAAGGATAAATTAGTTAAATCTAAATCCCAGAAAATTCTTTCTCCCGCCACTACCCCCCACCACTCTTTTAAAAGGGGTAGGTGGGCAGTCCACAAATACAGGAGTAGGAAGCCTTGCTCTTGTGCAGGTGTCCTGTGTGGACATGTGCATAGTGGTCAGTGAGCAGGTGAAGATTCCGCAGTTAGGGTCTGTTGTGTTAAGAGCTAGCGTAGTGATGGAGTACGCTCGGAGAGTACGGCACTTAGCGGCCATGGTGGCGTTGACATTCGGCAATAGTAACCTCATCAGGCAGCGGGGCCTTGTTTGGACTCCACAGGGAAGGTCCCAGAGAATGTGGAGAGGTGTGATGTAGCAGTTCACGAGAGAGGGAAGGAGCCCTCGCCTCTGTGTTGTGGTAGCTGCATTGCTGTTCCCTCCACCGCTGGCATCCCTCTCCTCCTCTGAGCCTCCCATGCTGTGTAAGCCCCTCCCAGGCCTGGGCCTTATCTGTAAACTATGAGTAGGCAGAGACCTCTTTTCTCATGAGTTTGGGACTTCTTGGTATTTCTACCCAAATATTACTCCTAATCCTACCCTCCGCTTCTTTCCGAACAACCCTTTTTCCCTTAATTTTTTTTACTGAAATACAATATACATACAGTAAAGCATACAAATCTTAAGTAGACAGCCCAGTGAATTTTTACAAATGTATACCCTTTTGTGACCACTTCCCAGATCAAGATAAAGCCCATTATCAGCACCCTACAAGCCTCCCTCTTCTGCTTCCCCATCAATACCCTGACACTTCCTCAAAAGCAGACCTTCCTTCCACTTTCATCTCTTCTATCTCAGTGAAGTTTTAGAATTCTTTATAAATGAATTCCATATTATGAATTATTTTATGTCTGGCTTTTGCTTGACATTATGTCTATGAAATTCATCCAGGTTATGGCATATAGTAGCCGTGTGTTCTTTTTCACTGCTGTATAATATTCCCACATGTGCTTGTGTCTCTCCATCCTGTATTGGCATTTGGATTGTTTCCCATTATTCCTCTTAAGAATAATGCTGCTGCAGGGCACCTGGGTGGCTCAGTGGGTTAAAACCTCTGCCTTCAGCTCAGGTCATGATCTTAGGGTCCTGGGATCGAGCCCTGCATCGGGCTCTCTGCTCAGCAGGAAGCCTGCTTCCCCCCCTCCCCTGCCTGTCTCTCTGCTTACTTGTGATCTCTGTCAAATAAATAAATAACATTTTTTAAAAAGAAGAAGAATGCTGCTATAGACATCCTGTTTGCCCTGCACGCACATACCCAGCCATTCGTGTTGGATATGCACCTAAAAGTGAGCTGCTAGGTCATGGGACTGCGGTTGTGGGACAGTGGCAGTGGACACTGCCGGTTTCCCAGAGTGGTTGTACATCTTCATTCCCGACAGCAGTGAGAGTCCCAAACATTCCACATCCTCGTCAGTGCTTGGTGACCATTATTATCTTGTTGTTTATTTTAGTCATTCTGGTGAGAGTCTTCATCATACCTTACTTTGTGTGCCTTTCTATGTGTATGTTTATTTTTTAATATGGAGAATTTCATACAAATTCAAAAATAGAATAATGTGATGATGGCCCATGCACCCCATTGCCAGCTACACAAACCGCTGAGCCCCAGCCAGTCCTACCCTAAGTTCATTACATCTACTTGCTTCTCCTGTGTTATTCTTTTTTTTTTTTTAAAGATTGTATTTATTTATTTGACATAGAGAGATCACAAGTAGGCAGAGAGGCAGGCAGAAAGAGAGGAAGGGAAGCAGGCCTCCTGCCAAGCAGAGAGCCTGACGCGGGGCTCGATCCCAGGACCCTGAGATCACGACCCGAGCTGAAGGCAGCAGCTTAACCCACTGAGCCACCCAGGCGTCCCATCTCTTGTGTTATTCTGAAGTAAATCCCAGAATTTTTATAATTTCACCTGTAAATAAAGAATAAGAACTTTAAAAAAACATAGCCACAGGGATGCCTGGGTGGCTTAGTCAGGTAAGTATCTGCCTTCAGCTCAGGTCAGAATCTCAGGGTCCTGAGATCAAGCCTCATGTTGGGCTCCCTGCTCAGCGGGGAGCCTGCTTCTCCTTCTGCCTCTGCTATTCCCCCTCCTTGTGCACTCTGCTCTCTCAAGTAAATCAATAAAATCTTAAAAAAAAATAGCCACAGGACTATTATACCTAAGGGAAAAAAGCAATATTTTCTTTTTTTTTTTTTTTTAATTTTTTATTTTTCTAGGGACTCCTGGCTGGTTCAGTCATTGGGCATCTGCCTTCTGCTCAGGTCATGATCCCAGGCCCTGGAATCGAGCCCTGCATTGGGCTCCCTGCTTTGCAGGACGCCTGCTTCTCCCTCTCCCACTCCCCCTTCTTGTATTCCCTCTCTCGCTGTCTCTCTCTCCCTATCAAATAATAAATAAATCTTTTTTTTTTTTTAAGGTAGGTTATTTTTAATTTTTCTAAGTAGGCTCCATCCCCAACATAGGGCTGGAACTCACAACCCCAAGATCTAGAGTCACATGCTCTACTGACTGAGCCAGCCAGGTGCCCCACAATGTTTTCTTAATATCAAATAGCCAGTGTTCAAATTTTTAACTCTTATAAATGTCATAATTGTTTCTTCACATTTTTTACTTGAATCAAGATGCAAATTAAAATAGGCCTACACATCGCAGTTAGTTAATATGTCTCTTAAATCTCTTTTAATCTATGGTTCCCCCTTTATCTCTTCTCTTTTTCTTAACATGTGTATGTTAAGGAAGCTGAGCTGTTCGTCCTGCAGAATTTCCCAAACCTGGAATTTATTCCCTGCACACCCCTAATGTAATCTAGCATATTCTCTCTTCTGTATTTTTCTGTAAATTGGTGGTCAGACATACAAACATGATCAGGTTTGGGGTCAGTTTTTCTTGTTTGTTTTCGTTTGGGGAAAGCTTCACGACTGACCGTTTGTCGTCTCTTTTGAAAGCTGCATCAGAGCCAGCTGGAGCTCCAGGAGGCGCGACTCTCCTACCGACAGCTGCAGGTGAAGGTGGATGAGCTCACGGAGGAGAGGAGCCTGCAGAGCTCCGCTGCCACCAGCACGTCCCTTCTGTCCGAGATAGAACAGAGCATGGAGGCCGAGGAGCTGGAGCAAGAGAGAGAGCAGGTGCTGACACCCTGTCCCTCTGGCGTATGAGGTTGCCCTGGGACCACAGGGGCAGGCCCCGGACTGCAGAAGCCTGGCCATCCTTCTTGTGGCCCAGGGCCTACCATTTCAGCTTCCTCCCCGCAAGGGCCTGTGGCGTGCACCTGCGGAAGCCTAGGCCTGCTGGCAGAGCCATCAGGAAGCAGGCCCTGACCACAGCCTGTCCCGGGCTCACTGCTGCCCCCTTGCCTCCTAGGAGAGGCTTGTTGGCTCATCCTCAGCCTCATCCTCTTACACTGACTGGGCTCTAGAACACTCACGATCTATCCAGATGGCTTCTTTTCATACTACTACTAACCACTTACTCCCCTAATCATGACTCCTCTATCAAAGTAACCAACTATATAAGGAAGTGCTTATATGACACATGGGAGGTGGGAGGGCTGGGGAATTAAGAATTGGGAGTCTGCATAGGTGTACTAGGCCCAGAACAAGGACGAGTGTTTCTTAGGACAGGTGATTTATAAAAGGAAAATCTTTTTTCCTAGTACTAGTCTCTAGGGTGTCAGTATGTTGGGTTCCTATGCTAGAAAAAGATGAGCAGGGACAGTCTTCTCTAGCGTCCATAATCAAGAACGGCTCTTTGTGCGGCAGCTGAGACTGCAGCTCTGGGAGGCCTACTGCCAAGTTCGCTATCTCTGCTCGCACCTCCGAGGGAACGACAGTGCCGACTCGGCCGTCTCCACGGACTCCTCGATGGACGAGTCTTCAGAGACTTCATCTGCCAAGGATGTGCCGGCCGGCAGCTTGCGCACGGCCCTGAGCGAGCTCAAGCGGCTAATACAGAGCGTCGTGGACGGCGTGGAGCCCACGGTAGGCAGCCAGGCTGAGAAGCTCCTCAGCCCACACAGCCTAGCTGGGGGAGGCTGCAGCCAAGTGCAGGGACGAGGTTGATCCCAGAGCGGGAGCCTTGCAGAGTCTTTGAGAACATTGTCAGAGCCCGTATGGTCCGAGAGCAGTCTACACTGGTGACCGGGCAGAGGGACAGAGTGTCAGGGAATGGAGGTTCCAGAGTCATCTTCCCAAAGACACTGGCATACAAGTGGAGTCCTTTCTCCATATGGTTAAGTCCAGGCCATGGTGGCCTCAAGGTCAAGGACTTTCCTTGGAAGCTTTGAATGTAGAAATTTGGATCTAGGTGCAAACTGCAAGTTTCTTTTCTGGAGCTCTTTGGTCCTGGTGGTGGAGTAGCTGCAAATAGGCAAATTTGAAAGATCTGGAGCTTCTGCTAAAAAGACATAAGTGAGCACAGAAAGTTGAGAAGATCAGCAAGGGCCTTTTAGAATTCCAGATGTGGCTCTTCTTGTGGAGGAGAAGAATGTTCCCGTGGGCTCCCTGGGCAGACTGGCATTTCTTCCAACTTCGTGACAGATTTCTGCCAGACTTACTCTCCGTTCACACCCCCGACTGTCAGGCAGTTGTCTCTCTTCGGGGCCTGTCCTCCTACAGAACAGTCAACATCTTTCTCCCCGTATTAGATGAAGTCCTGTGAGAGGGTGGCTGCCCCTACCTGAAGGTGCCGTGTGGATTGTGGAATGTGCTCTAGTTGTGGAGACTGGGTCATCATGGGGCATGGGAGCGGTCTGAGTGAGGTGTTGACTTACCTCCCCTGAAGCCTGAAACCAAAATAAATATCTGGCTAATGTTTGCAGATCCAAATTGGGCAAGAGAGTCTCTCTCCTCTAACCCTTTCTTTCTTCCCTCCTGTGTCTCTCCTCCTTCTCTCCCTTTCTTTCCCTCCACCTCCCACTTCATCTCCTTTATCCTGCTCTCCTCCAAACCAACCCATCTCTACCCCCTCCCCGTACCTCCCTTCTCCCTTCCTCCCACTAACCGTCTCACCGCACCCACCTCTGCTTGTACCATCTCTCGGGTTGGTGGCTTTCTCTTTTACTGTCAGAGCTCCCGGAGAATTGACGATGACTCCTTAGAAGAACAGATAAGGCAGACCAGTGAGGACTCAAGAGCCCTAAGGGAACTCATGGAGGGAGAGAGGGGTAAACTGAGGCAAAGCCTAGAGGAGCTGCAGCAACTCCACAGTCAGGTGAGCACCCCTGTCCTCAGTCCTGAGCAGGAAATGTGCATGTGTCCCCCAAGGTGTCTTGGGACCCTCATGAGTTTCCCTTTCCCTCGTCTATATGAGAAGTGGCTCTCCCCTGACAGGTCCTCAGAGGACAGTGACCTGAAGTTGAGGTAAGCTGGGCATCTTCAAGAGAAGCAGCCAACCCTCTGGTTTAGCCCAAAGTAAAATTGTTAAGGATAAGAATAGATGACCCTCCCATTTCCTCCAGTGACATGCTACCTTCCACAGAGCCCAAATTATCTGGCGGATTCTGACAGTTCGAAGTGCCATAGCTCTCAGGACGTTCATGGATGTTTTTCCAGCAGCTTCTAAGCAGGGAAGTTTGCAAACCAAGAAGCAGTTGATCTTCGCCGGCCTGTTCTCGCTCTGTGACGCCGTCACCTCTGCCAGCCTGTTTTTCAGCTTCAGAAGCACTTACTGCTGCTCTTGCTGTTCCGTTTCTGTTTGATCATCATTTCGTTTCTCTCGAGAATCCTAGAGAAGGACATCTGTATTCCAGTCTGAAATATTCTAAAGCGCTCAGGAGCAGCCCCCAACCCAGACAGGAGCTTCTAGATTCTGTCCTAGAAATAGATAAGGCGCTTCCTTTTGACAGGGGTCTTGGGTAGTGTTCTGTCCCACGTGTGAGGGACACCAAACAGGTTGTGTTTTAACCCCTGCCCCCACCCAGCCTGCACCCCCTTCCTCCCTCGTCTGAAGCTGGTCATCCCTCCCTGCCGCCACAGGTCGCTGAGAGATGGAGGCTAAGCCTGGCTTTTGCGTCAGTCAGTATTTCTTAAATTTAAAGGGCCTTACAGAAATAGACTGATTTGGGGGCTCATACCCACTGGACATCCTAATATAATTTTCTTGAAAGATCCTGGGAGACCCTCCCGCAGCTACTGCCGTACTCTTCTCTGGGAGTGACCGTACAGGGAGGACAGAATGGTGCTCTTGAAGGCTGTAGCTTGTTTCTGCCCAGGCCCCAAAGAATGGAACTGGGCAGCCGAGGACATTGTCATGCCCAAAGCCTGAGTCCCTCAGTTGGTCGCTTGGCCAGGGGTGGTTCAGACACCAGCTCAGGTCTTCAGACTGTAAGAATTAGAAAACAGGACAAGGTGGATCTGACCGTTCTTTGGGTGAATAAAAGTTTCATTTACTTGAAAGCCCGCTTAAATTGTTGTGGGGGTGCTTCTTATCAGCTCTCTGGTATTGGCTGGTTTGTTTTGTTGCTTCTCAGACTAGCAGAGCTAGAGAGAGCTGGGGGTGTTGTTGAGAAACCAGAGCAAGGCACAGGTGGCTGAGGGTCCGGACGCAGCTCTCTCCGAGCCTGTCTCCTTAATACTTCAGCTGATAAGTGGTTTATGCCATCAAGCAGAGAGTTCTGCTCAGCCCCATGGGGTATGGAACTGGGCCTCTTGAGTGGGTCATCTCTTCCCAAAAGCTTAGACAAAGCAGCAGATCTCTCAGCCAAAGTACATCTATCCAGAACCAGCCCATGGGGGTAACACCGACCTCCCAAGACAGCGGGAAGGACACAGACCGAACTGTAGCATGCCTCGGACACGGTGGCCCTTCGAGTGGGCCCCTCGCCCTCCCTGGGTGCCTGCACTGCTCTAGACCCTGAGGTGCTCAGGATGGATGCCCTTGGGTTCCACAGCCTCTCCTAGAATGCTGAGAGGAGTCCAACTAGCTCTGTCCTCTTTGGGGGTGGGGAGCGGCGGGGAGGAAGGGCCAGAGCCCAGACATAGTTATGTGAAACCGAAGTGCCAGCAGACCGCCGCTAGACTAGGGTGAAGCCTCGTCCAACGGGTGATCCGGCCTCCGAGCCCGCTGCTTTCCCGGCCCACAGTGTTCTTTTTTTCTCCCGGAAACTGAGCCAGACGTAACAGCTGTAGGACCTGGAAGGGGAAGTGACCAGCCCCCCAGAAGCCTATCCAAATTTTTAAGTAAAAGAGAGCCCAGGTTTAATTTTAACTGATAGTTATGTTTGAGACAAGAATCTTTAACCAGACCTGAAGACCGCCCCACACCCTTAGGCCATGGAGAGCTCCCTCCCACCGCTACTTAGCCTGCTCATTCCCCACAGCTTTGCAGGCTCCTGCTCCCTCCTGGGCAGGGCTCACTGGGGTCTGGAGCAGCTGCTGGGAGGCGGAGAGGATGTTCAGAGCAATAGGAAAACCAGTTATGTGGGGAGCCCCTCCACTGATCCCCAGGCCGGTAAACCAGGCTGTGGGAGGTGCACCGAGAAATAGTCCCAGGCCCAGGGCATCTGGGGGGGCTCAATCGGTTAAGCAGCTGACTCTTGATTTCAGCTCAGGTCATGATCTCAGTGTCCTGGGATAGAGCCCCTCGTTGGGCTCCATGCTCAGCAGGGAGTCTGCTTCTCCCTCTCCATCTCCTTTCCTCTTTGCTCCTCCCCCTACAAGCGTGTGCACGTGCATGCGCTCTCTCTCTCTCTCTAATAAATAAGGAAATCTTAAAGAAAGGAAGGAAGGAAGGAAGAAATAGTCCCCGTCCTATGTTTGGTTCCTTTATAGGGCTTGACTGGAGCACTAGCCAGTTCTCCCCACAGGGCCATGACCTTGCGGTAGAGCACGTACTGGGCGCATGTAAGGCCGTCACGTAAGGCCATCTGGGTGGCCCCTCCTGTGTGAAATCTCGTTGTGCTCTCTCTCCTCCAGCTTCCTAGCCATCGCCCTGTTTCAGACCTTCATACTGTCACACCGTGGCTTTGGCCATCACTTCCCCAGCCCACTTAACCCACACATGATTTGGATTGATCTTCCTGAAGCACAGCTTGGAAACAGGTTCTAGTCGACTTCCTCTTGTCCCGTGGCGGGAAGCCTCAAACTCTCACAGCCCCACAGACTGGCTGCATGGAAGCCATCCAGCCTCCTTCCCCGTTGTTTCATCTCCCCTCCTGTCCGTTAGTCGATTGAACACAGACTGTGAAAGGGCAGGGCGCACACTCTCTGTGCTTCCCCACATCTGGGCCTTTTCTCTGGCCCTTGACCTCTGTCCAGAAGACTCTCCCCGGCCACCTGCGCGTATCAGCCCTACTCATCCTTCAGGTTTCACTTCTTCCTTCAAACCCTTGATTCCCTTCTTCCTGGAGCCTCAGCTCTGCTTTGTTATGGCCACCCTCGCTTCCATCTCATCTACCCACTTAAACCTTAGCCCCCATGAGGACAAGCTTGAGGTCTGACTTCTCTTTGTCTTCTCTTAAAGCGTCTAGCACAAGCCTTACCTAGAATAGGCACAAAAATAATTATCAAATGGGCAAAGAAAACCCTGGATATATGACTTCAGGATATTTTCTTTGATCCTGTTCACTCATGAGGACACCTACTTTATGTGGGAAAAGTGGAGTTAGGAGTGGCTGCCACCTGAGTCAGTGTGTAAACAGGCCGGGCCAGTCCTCATGACGGCCGCAGCAGTAGGTCCGCGTCGGTGTGAGGAAGAGAAGGGCGTAGAACTTGCCGCGGGGTGCTCAGCTCCGTCCTTGGTGTGAGTTACCTCATTTGAGCCTCACAACAACCTGATGGTGGGAACTAGTTATTTTTATTCCTGTTTTTTATGAAAAGTATGTGCAGCTCGAAGAAGGAAGTCTCTTGTCACTTCTAAGACAGCTGATGGTCCGTCTCTACCTTGACCAAGTTTTCCAGACCAAAGCAAAAAGTTCTTGTGGAGTTTTTTCTGGAGCCTATTAAATTTTGGCATTTCGTGCCTCGCATGTGGTTTTATCTGTTTTATCTATAGCTTGCTCGGCTGGCAAAACCCTTGTCTGGCACACAGCCAGCCCGAGGCCACGTTAGGGCTGATTTGGTCGGAGAAGGTCTGGCTCTCTCTCTGCCAGGTACTTTCTGGGTCTTGAGTTTCAGGCCTACCAGGCTACAGGACCTGCTAGTAAGAAGGGTGAGGCTGGGTGTCTTACCTGCTGCCTGCTTGTCTCGGGACTAGCTACACCCTGTGGCCTCTGCAGGCGCCCCAGCCTGTTCTTCCTTGTGGCCAGTAGCCCTGCTCACTGCAGCTGTCCCCCCCATGAAAGCACAGATCACCTGGTGCTGACGTGCCAGGACCCTAAGAGTACAAAATCCATTGTCCCCAGTAACAACAATTGCCCTGTACGCCCTTCATTATCGGGCATCCTCTGATTTCTTCCCAAGCACTTCTACCCCAGGAGAGGGCCACCGTGCCACCTCAGTCTGGGGGTCCGAAGCATCTTCAGGGAAGCTGGATCCTCAGCCTTGCTCTGGGGTCTTTGCTCAATTTCAGTCTGTCTGAAGATGTTGAGGCCTGGGACTTGAGGAGGGGAGTACACCCAAAGTGGGCATCTGTCCCCTAGTGGGAGGACTAGACCCATATGGATAGATCCTCCCTTGGGAAAATGTCCAAGTATGTGTAATATTTAACAAGAGGGCAGGGCCGGGCATCCTGACTCCAGTCTGAGCCTACTGACTGAGAAGGGGCTCCCACCCTTTCCATTCATTCAACAAATATTTACTGAAAGTTCTACCAAGCAGGGTTTCTGATTGCAAACAACAAAAACTCTCTCTGCTTAACTTAAGAAGAGAGAGACTGTATTGGAATTAAATCTGATAGCTAACAGAATCAGCAGGAAGGCTGGAGAACCAAGCTCCAAAACAGAAAGGAGCCATAGGAAGTGGGGCCACAGAAGCAGTCTGCTATCAGTGTAATAATTTCCCCCTGACCTGTGGCTTTGCTGAACCCTCGAGAACGGCAGTCCCAGGCAGGGAGATGTGACTCACACATCTAGGTCACCTTTCCACGTCTGTGTGCCTAGGAAAGGATATGTCTCTCCCCTTTGGCTACCTTACTGGGAGGGCATCCCCTGTTTCTCACCAAGACTCATGTAACCAGGAATGTCCCTCAAGGAGGAATGCATTTGGGATGATGACTAGCCAAGAAGACAATTGTGTCCTGCACAAGCATTTTCAGATTGAGCATCATAGAGTCAGGCTCTGAAATGCACAGATGAATGAGACACGCTTCCTACCACTGCAGAACCTTAGGTGTCCAGAGGGTTCCTGTACACTGGGTGGGGTAAGCTGTGGTCACTGAGGGAGCCACAAGGAAGGGCACCCTACCATCAAAGGATGACCCCCCGTGAATAAGCTGTGGGACCATTCACTGAGGCGTGGACTACAGAAAAGGTAACAGGCTTGAGTGAAAAATGGTATCACGTGGGTGTCTAAATTCCATATGGCTTTGACCAGGGAAGCTGAGTGACCAGGCTGCATCAAGTACCTCACAGAAATGGGAGCCAGGCTTTGCCAGGGCCCTGTGCATAGCAAGGTTCCTTGTTGAGTGGAAGATGGCTGGGAACAAAACTTGAGTCCCTGCCCCTAACCTTGTGTTTCAGAGCCCTGATGCATGGGTGGTCTACATTAGTACCCGCCAGTGCCTTGAAATGGAGGTGTTGGTGTGGAATGCTACGTCCAAAGGGGATCTGACCCCTGTGGCTGCTGTCTGGGGCTGAACTTCATCCCCCACCCCCACGCCCCTGCCAGTGGGCTCCAGCCTAGCTTGTGGCATCCCCTCTCCGGAAGAGCTGGGCATCTCTCAGAGCCAGGGGCCTTGGGAAGCTACAAGCACCCACCTGGGGCTACTTGTTCCTTTCTGCCTCTTTCAGGGCAACCCCTCAGGCCAGCAGCAGTGGTAGCCCCACATTCATCCCTGTGGTCTCCCATCAGGTGACACTGCTGAGTGTGGAGATGACTGCACTGAAGGAGGAGAGAGACCGACTCAGAGTGACATCTGAGGACAAGGAGCCAAAGGAGCAGCTTCAGAAGGCCATCCGGGACCGCGATGAGGCCATTGCAAAGTGAGTGGGCATGGTTTGTCGAATTTTACTTTAATCACAAGCAACATGAGTATGAGCTCAGTTTTAAAAGTGAAATGCTACAGAAGACGACAAAAGTGAAAGTGTTTCCCTGCTAGCCACCCTCACCCCCAGTCTGGTTCTTCTCCCCAGACAGACGCTACTGTTGGAGGTCGGATGTGTGGTCCGTGCAGATCTTTTTTCTCGGTGTATCCAGCTGTATGTGCTTGTTTGGGTTTTTTTTAAATATTGACGGGATGATGCTCTGCGTGTCTGTGTATCTTAGCTTTCCGACTTCATTATATCGCTCTACCTCAACTTCTTTATGTTTAGGGGTTTCTTTTTTTTTTAGGGGAATTTTTGTTACTTTTTATTTTGGGCATTTTCAAGCATACACAAAAGTAGAAAAAAATAAGATGGGTCCCTACCTACCTGTCTTTTGGTTTCAACCCTAATCAGCATATGGCCGGAGGTTTCATCTATATCCCACCTGCTGTGTTCCTGTGGAACTGTGTGGAAGCAAATCACAAGATCCCTTATCTCATCCGTAAACACTTCAGTATAGATTCAGTAATTTCTTCTTCTTCTTCAGTAATATAAATTCAGTAATTTCTTAATATCATCTAGTAACCAGTTGCCCCATAAATGTCCTTTTATGATTGATTAGAATCAGCCTCCAAAGCCCACAAACCCCGTCTAGTTGATATGGACCTAAGCTCCCCCCCATCCTTTTCTCACATGGCCTCTATTTATTGAAGACACTGATGATTTGTCTGCATTCTGGGTCTGATGGGTCCTCAGAGTGTCATTCAGCAGTTTTCTCTCACCTGTATCCCCAGTAAACTGGGTCATATTTTAATAGTGTTTTGGGTTTTCTTTAGCAGAGAAGAAATGCATTCTCTTACATTAAAAAAATTCGGAAGTGCATAGGCAAAAAAAATTTACGTATTCCCCATCGCCCTTCAAATGATTCTTTATCATGCATTTAATCTGCCCTCTTCACTGTGAGGAGATAAAAGGTACTGAAAATGTCTGCTCATGGGGCACTTTGCAACACATTCAAACGTTCAAAACGTCTGTGTCACTTCACTGCTTACTAAACACTTCACCCTTGAATCCTCTCAGTCACAGCGAGAATTAAAATTTTTAATCCCAGTTTTTACAGAGGAGGAAACTGAGATGCTTTCCCCAGTTGCACGGCCAATAGTGATCACTGGCTTCCCCCTCAGGTCTCTTGACCCCTGTCCCCACATCCTTTCCTTTTACCACACAGGCTGCTTGTCAGCAAACTAAAAGGAGCCCATTTGAAGTAAATTGTAAATAGATACTATATACCCTTTTAAAAAGTAACATGACACATTTTAATTTCTGACTTTGAAATTCCCCACACCTTTCCCCTTCTCACCTCCACACACACTTGTCCACTCCCTTCTGCTAGCTCTCTAATCATTTCTTCATCTCCGTTACTTATTTCTACCTTTCCGTCCCCTTGCCTCTCTGGCCAGGACCTCCGGTGACCCTGTCTGACAATTTCTAGTTCCTTTAGGAAGTACACTCAGGCTCACAAACCCAGGCCTCTCTGCCACTGGACTCCTGGAGAATATTTGATTCATTAGCGGATACTTGAATAGCCCTGGAATATTTTGGAGTGGGAGCGTACTTTCATGAATAACAAAGGGTGAAATTGTGCCATACAGTTAGGGAATAAAATGGTAAAATTGAGGTGCTAATTGTAGAAGCCTGTCGGGAAAAAAAGCAGAATGGAGTTAGAAGTAGAGAATGGCTGGTCACCTTCTCTCCGCCAGACAAGCAAATGAGAGCTGAACATCCGGCTCTGACCGTATTCGGCCATCAGCACAGGAGGTGGGAGGTACAACCAGAGAACGTACGAGGGTGCAGGAAGGAAGAAACAGAAGTTGTCTAGTCCTCTCCCTTAAAATAAGTGGAACCTACCTCTGACATATGGGGGACCGGGGAGGCCAGCAAGTCTCCATGAAACCTTAAAATGCATGACTTTGCCTTCAGCCAAAGGTGGCCCAGTGAACCTCCCAGTGTCTGACTGAGCTGATGAGCAGACTGTCCTCCCGGGGTACTCAGCATTGTGCAGTGAGGCCCTTGTCCTTCGTGTACCCTGAGTAATAAGGCTGGGGCTGAGGGAGGGGGTCAAATCACTCCAGCAGGTTTGCTCTTTTTCTGTCCCTTAGAAATTAAACTCTTGGTGTAAAGAATTGAGACAGCAGACCTAAAGAATCATTTAAATGTGGGGGAAGCACACTTTGTGTAGGACCTTAAGGGTTTTACAAGATGCTTTCCTACACATCATCTCCGTCCGTCCTCACTGCACTTTGGAATCATCTGGGGACTCCCTGGAAGCCAGGGCCCTCTCCGGAGCATTTCAGTCTGAATCTCCTGGTTTGGAGCTACTTCTTAGAAGTGCCCCCTACCCCACCGGGTGGTTCTAGTGCGTAGTGAGGAGTGAGAACCCCCAGGAAAAATAACTTTCCTCTCTCCCTGGGCTACAGAAACCTGAAGGTGTTCTTTATCCTGCACAGTAATGAGTTTCAGAAAAGTTAAGTAACGGCTTCGTCACCTACAGGTAAAAGTCGTCACTAAAAGCAAAAATCTGGGGCTGGCAGTCTGCCTCACAAAAACAAAAAGGAGTCCGTTACTAGCGGTTTCATTTAAATAAGGACTTCTTCTAGCCCTTTGAGATAATACTTAAAATTCTGATGAATGTATCCATCAGCAGGCTCTGCGGCTTAGCTCTCCTGGTCTGGGGCTCTCGGGAATGAAAAGCACCGTGACTCTCCAGTGAGCAAACGTTCCCTGGGGTACAGTCCAAGGCTGGGATGCGGCGGTTCTGGGGAAGGAAGGGGACCCCCTGCCGGCCTGGCCGCACAGCTGCTGCCGGATCTCCGCCCGGAGGCCTCGGTCAGCGCATTCCGGGGTCTCCGGGCTTCTCGTGGCGCCACCTGCCGGGAGACGCCCAGAAGCTCAGGAGGCTGCCGCGGTCTCCGGAGCCAGGGGTTGGCGCGGCTCTTCCCGACTGCGGGGGTGGCCGGCCCGGCGTCCATGGCAACGGTGCCGCGTGAGGATTTCCGCCCGCCGCCGGCAGCCAATGGCAGCGGGTGTGACACGGCAGCCTGAGGCGTCTGAGACGCCGGCGCTCATTGGACGGCCCCTGCTCCTGTCCCTTCAACCGCAGTGCGGCGGGCGGACCGGGGTGGTTCGAGCTCTCTAGACGCTTCTGTGGGAAAGGCGGGTGGGGTGACGTTGTGCAGCCCTGAGGTGTCAGGGGAGGTGACTCATGGATCGGACTTGAGGCCGGAGAGGAAGTGCGGGTCCCGGCGGTGGCCCCGAGTGCCTTACCCCCACTGCCCCGCCTCTCAGCCGTGCTCAGCCTGCTGCAGCCGGCAGCCTCCCCAGGCGGGTCCTCCAGCTGTCCTTGGGACGTGCACCCTGGTCGCCGGCCCGGTGCGTGGCGCGGTTCTGCTTTGCCGTTTCGAATGCAAAAGGCAGTTGATGACAGGGGCTAAGGAATGCCCAGTTTGGCAGCCGGGCAACCAGTGCCTCTGCAGAAGCTGCTCAGCCTCTCGCACTTTCTGTTATCATTTACCCACCCCGGAAAAAAAATTTTTTTCTTTTGCATTGTTGTAGGAATGTTGGAAAAGGCAAACAGTAATATATGAAACATTAAGATGTGAAAACATAAAGTGCAGGAGTATGTGGGAGCCCATCACTGATCACCCAGAGGGAGCCAAGTGGACGTTGTGTATGACCTTTAAGTACACACAGGCAGTTTTTCTTTTATAAGCTAGCACCATAGCGGACGTTGACTTGGGGTGCTTTTCTCCATTCAGCAATACATCCTATTTCCCCCCTGTCTGAGTAATGAATATTCAGCGTCATGGTTGTTACTGGCGACCGTGTTCCATCACATAATTTACCACCAGTGCCCTGATTGTTGGTAACTGTGATCAGCTAGGCTGTGATCATCACCACTGTGTGGCTACTTTTGCACACCTGTGTGCCTTTAGGTCACATCCCTTACGTGGGGGGAGGTTGCTCTTGAAAAGGAGGGGCTGGGAGAACGAGCTCTTTACCTCCCTTGGGGATGGGTCTTATGGGGGAATGATAGCCTCTCCTTAGTGCCCTGCGAGGCCTTTGATGTCCTCTGGGTTCCAGTCCTCCTTTATCCTCCTTCCTGAGCCCCCCTTCCTCTGTGAGATGGGGAGGACAGGTAGTCCCTTCAGCTACACGTTGTTACAACAGTTGAGGAAAGGGATGTGAACCCATGCTGGGAACTTTCCAGTCCTTTGCAAGAAACATCCTAGTTACTGTCACAGTTCCTATTTGTTGTAAGTTTGGTCACAGCCTGTTTCCTCTACCCTTTGGACTCCAGGTGCCCCGGGTAAAGAATCAGATGCCTCTGGTACAAGGAGCCCATGCTCACCCGGCTTGTCTGTTTTTAGGAAGAATGCTGTGGAGCTGGAACTCGCCAAGTGCAGGATGGACATGATGTCTCTGAACAGCCAGTTGCTGGATGCCATTCAGCAGAAACTGAACCTCTCGCAGCAGCTTGAGGCTTGGCAGGTAAGGAGATTCCTGAGACCCAGGGGGAGGGAAGACGAGGCTCTGGGAGGAGCTGCTGAATCCAGGCAGAGTATTAGGAGAATTTGTTACTGGAGGGTTCTGCACACGTGGGTGAGCAGTAACCCGCCTTCACCTGGTAAGATTCAGAGCCTGCGCTCCCCCAGTCCCCAGGGAAGCAGGCCTGCGGATGCTGTCCCGAAACGTGAGCCCCAGGCAGTGCCAAATTTTAGGGCTGCAGTGACCGCCGGGTTTGGAGCAGGGGCTTCGCTCGGCTGGTCACCTCCACTCTGTTTCAGTCAGCTGGAAAGAAACAGCTGTTATCACAAAGGGCCCTAGAAGCCCTACATGGTGGGATGAAAAGTCACATCTGGAAGTATGTAGTTCGCAGCCCCTGGGCTGCCAGCCACTGCTGCCCTTCCCTTTCTCAAAGGCCAGCTTCCTTTCTCCAAAGGGCACTACCCTGAGGGAAAATGAGTCAGTGTGTCCTCTCTAGGACCACCGTTTTCAGAGTGCCTCAGCCTCCTCCGTCCCAGCCCCAGCTCGGCTCCCCACTGGGCCAGGCTGGACTTGCTTTTTGTTAATGAGATTCACATCGGACAATTTCAGGATATGGGTGTAACCATTCGTGTCTCCCCCCCCCCCCCCCCCCCCCCGTCCCAAAATCCGAAGCAGACAGATGAAAAGCACCCCGCTGGCGGGCAGGTTAACAGTCACCATTCCTCCAACGGCCTGGCCGGCCTGGCCGCAGGAGCACTTGACCCCCCTCCCCTGGGAGATGGTTCCTGGCTCCTGGGCTCTGGCCCACCAGCAGCTGGCCGGTCACCGGCTTACCGCCCATTCTTCTCTCTTCTCTCCTGGCTACAGTTTGCTTCCTCAGGGCTTTTTACTATCTGGCTCCTTTGGTTTCTGATCTAGTGGCCTTTCTCAGTTCCCGTATCAACAGCTTTAGTTGTACACCCCTCCTGCCTTTGAGGTGAGATCAAGCCCCCATTCCACCCGCCGTGTCCCCCGCCGCCATCGCCGTCTCGCCCCCGCCTTCCCGTGGCCCGCCGTGTTGTGTGTGCCGGCGTCCGGCGTCATCTCTGTGCAGTGTGTGCCGTGCCATCCCCCGCAGCGTGCCTCCCGCCACCACCGCGGCCCAGGACTGGCAGGCCGGCCCGTTTCTGACTGCCTCGGCCCTGGTTTCTCAGTGCTCCCTCCCCATCACTGGGCTCTTTTGCCCACAGAAGTACTAGCAGGTGTGGAATCATAAGTGGTTCACGCCTGTGTATGAAGTTCTACAGTGATCTAGTTCGTGGGCTTACCCTGATGCACGTTAAGGTGTAAAAGATGTGGTTTGCAGTGGGCCCGTAAAACCACCAGCACTTTGAAAGGCTTTCTTTCTGAAGGAGCCTGTTACGTTCCCATAGTGCTGCAGGGAACGATTTTATTGAGTAGGTCCTAAGCACAGGGCGCCGTGCCCAGGATTTGGCACTGGGACTTGGGAGGAGCATGTCCCCTACTTCTGCGAAGAGGAAAGGAACTGGAAAGCAGCTGAGTGTGAGGAAAGAGCAGGACGTGAACAAGGGAGGGAGAAGCAGGAGGTCCACACCTGCTGCTTGCTAGGAAGGTATGGGGTAAGAAAAGTCCCTTTGTTTCACACAAACACCTGGAGTGACAGAAGCGCAGGTGTGAGCACAGGAGGTGATGGAGCGGGGGGCGCCGGCCCCACTTCCTGCCCTTGTCGAGTGGCGGCCTGAGCGCGGCCCTCACTGTCCAGCGCTCCAGCAGGACACGCTCCTTGGGCTCGTCCCAGGCGTTAAACCGGGGTTTGGTGTCTTGACCAGGGCATCCCAGAGCCCACTGGGTTTAGGGGTGAAGGCATCGGGCAGATGCTAGCTCTGTTCCTGCTCGCGTTAACCAGGCAGGGCTGTTTCGACGTTCAAAGCAGTAGCTTGCGAGCTTTACTGGTAGCAGGACGCCTTTGCCAAGCAGACTCTTGTGCAGCGTCAGGATCGAAGCACTAGAAAGGAGGGAGGGCGGTGCTGCTCTGTCCAGAGGCCCCTCCGTGGGATACATCCGCTGTGCTTGTAAGGCATTTGGGGTGAGGGGCATCTCTTAGGCAACTTTAGCAAATTTGGGGAAGGTGCTAACCCAGGGAGGAAGCCAGGGATATATGCTAATAAGCAGGAGCGAGTCAGGCCCTAAAGACGGGGATGCCGTGGCCCGAGCCACACGCGGAAGGCTGCAGCGAGTGTGCTTGGTTGTGGGCGAGGGCAGGGCTGAGGGCATCTACGAAGCAGGCAGAACTTGTAGGGGTGAGGGGGCAGGAGAGGTCCCTGGAGCGGACCCTTTGGACTGGAGAGCTGGCGAGCAGAGGTCGCCCTAGGGCCCAGGGAGGGATGCCAAGGGAAGGCACACCCAGCCCCAAGGGACGCGGGAGGCAGGGCAGAGGCAGCCAGTCACGGGCAAGGCCTGGGTGGAGACAGGGAAGGATCAGCTTTGGCCGGCCCTTCTCTGGGCTCGCGGCGACAGACCAGCCGCGGGGTCAGCCACGGAGCCGAAGCCAGCAGGAAGCCCGAAGCCCTGAGGAGGCGGAGGTGTCGGTGGCTCCTGTGTGTCCAGGCATCATGTCTACACTTGCTGCTTTCTTGGTCGGCCTGGGCCGGCTGCAGCCGTTCCGCCATCTCATCCCATCCCCATCCCGCGTCCCTCTGACATGTGCCGCCCCCGCTCCCCGCCCCGGGTCGGAGCCCCTGTTCATGCCCTCCGCTCTGCCCCCTGCAGGACGACATGCACAGGGTCATTGACCGACAGCTGATGGACACGCACCTGAGGGAACGGAGCCGGCCTGCTGCTGCCCTCCCCAGGGCCCACGGCGCGGGGCGCGGGGACGAGCCCAGCACCGCCGAAGGCAAGCGGCTCTTCTCATTCTTCAGGAAAATTTAGGTCGGGAGGAGTCAGGCCAGCAGGGATGGGTACACTAGAGGGGACTGAGCGTGCGAGGCCCCAGCACACCATGCTTGCACACGAGGGCTCCCCTGGGCCAGCTCAGCGGCCGCACTGCCCACCCACACTGGGGCCCAGTCATCCAGAAGAGCCCATGCGGCCTCTGACGGCTGCCCTCGACAGAGGGACAGGCGGGAGCCGTGTCCCTCCTGCCAGGCCACGCCCGGCCTAGGCTGCCCCCAGATCCTGCTGCCTCCGGAGCAGCCCCTCGGGCTCTGCCACGCAGATGCAGCAGATCATGGCCCACCCCGCCCACCCCTCGGGGGCTCCCCCTGTCCCACCCCAGGCACTGCTGCCCTCCTATTTTGGAATACGGGGAACAGAAGGAATGGAGGCCATCTCTGAGTGCCTCAGGAAGCCGTCACGGCCCCCAGCTGGCCTGAGCTGTGGGGATGGGGGTCGCTAGTCCTCTGGGACAGCAGGTCCAGGGCTGAGCCTCCACCTGTTCCCCCGATCTCTGGCCCAGGGAGGAAGGGGGAGGTGGCTCCTCACCCGCGTGCATGCACCTCTGCCTGGAGCGCCTCTGCGGCAGGAGGCCCGGCCTGCGGGGCCTGACCAGCCGGGGCTGTTCTCTTGCACTCAGCCACCGCTGGGCTCTCCGGGGGCTTGACTGTCGCCATCCCAAGGTCAGGAGGAAGAAGGGCCCTGCCCCCCCCCCCCCCACTCTCAGCTGCCACTGTTCTCCTTCCCTGGCCTCAGGGCCGCCCGTGTTCTCACAGCCCCCTCGCGCCCCTCTGCGGGTGTCAACCCTCCAGTCCTTCCCCCTTCAGGCGCCGGAGCTGGGAGCGGGGGGGCTCTCCTCCTCTTCCCACGGCCCCCGGCTCCCCTCACACATACAAGTTCTTGGCTCGGCCAAGCGAGTCCAGGCCACAGAATGGCCCCAGAGGGGTCTGCCGTCAGCCACCTCCACCTCGAGGGCAGCACTGGCACCACAGGGCGGATGCCACCAGATACTGCCCCCCAGGCCTGCAGAAGGCTGAACCCTGCAAACCTGCTGCTTCTGCTCCTTCCTCAGCAGCCACCCCACCCTCTCTGCTGAGGCCCCCCTCAGAGGCCCCCCTGGCTGAGCCAGCCCGCGCGCTGCTTTACCAAGGATCATCTCCCTCCCTCACTCGGGAAAAGCACAGCAGGGATGAGCGGCAAGAATGTACCTATAGATATGTACATACCACAGTGCTGTAATTTTGTACGTAGCAATCCTGTAAATACATGTACGGATTTTATAATATACATATTCTATATAAATCTATAAAGGCATATTTTTAGAAAAACAGCGCACCACTGCTTCTTTTGAAAATAGTCAAAGAATAAAATGAATTTCTACAGAGCTTCCTGCCTTAATCATTGGGGGACCCGGAGGGCTCTGGTCAGAAAGCAGCTTCCCGCTCAGAGCCACCGGCTGCCGGTTCTGTAGGGACAGCAGGTGGGAGTCCCTCACACCTCCGGGAGGTCCCCTCCCCTCTTGGTACTTGGTGAGTGGATTCAGCCAGGAAGGGGGGCACCTCCCCAGGAGGGCGCAAGCGTGCTGTCCACGACAGCGCTCCGGGCCCCGCCTCCACACGCACCCTGGCCCCGGGCGCCCTGCCAGCCCGGCTTCCCACGCCCGGGGCAGGCCCTCCAGCCTGGCAGGAACTCGGAGCCACAGAGAAATCACTGCAGGCAAAGCTTCCACTGCATCCTTCCGGCCGTGCGGAGAATAAACAGGCACTTCCCCGGGCATCTTACCGAGTGCGCTTCCGACCTCTGCCTCGAACCGGAGGGGAAACTCAAACTGGACCGACCTTTTGCGGGGAAAACAAACTTGGCTTCTGAAAGTGGCCCTGGGCCCCGGCAGGCACCTGTGCCGGACTCCGACCAGAACAAACAAGAGCTGAATGCCGTGGGCGGGAAGAAGGCGGCCCCCCCACCCCAGCTGCAGGAGAGCAAACGACCCCAGGAGAAAACTTGGCAGCTTGAACCTTTATTTTTAGTATTTTTTTAAAAAGCATAATTAGAAACTTTCAATACAGAAATAATCCTAGCAAACCATTTAAAAGTTTTGTTGTTCAACAGGAATTTCACATCAGGTCCACCAGGACGTCAGTCCAGCCCTGTGAGTCTCCCCACCCCCACCCCCCATTCATGCGTGTAACACTCAGTGGGACAGGCACACTGTCGTCACCAAATCACCCCACCACCTGGGTCTGGACGTCCAGTTGCCAGAGCCATAGCCAGCTTCTAGCCCGGGCTGGAAACCTCCAGGACCCCTTCCCCTTATTGCTCCAATCTGCAAGCACTGCCACACTGATGTCACGTGAACACTCAGACTTGAACACGCTGCCCGCCCAGGAGTCTCGAGCTCTCTGCATCCTGCCCAGGACCTCAGGTCACCCCGCACAGCCCTGAGGACGGAGACCCCACTTTCACTCCCGGCCCCCCACCAGTCAGAAGATGCCTGTCGGCTGGCCCCACAGCCGCCCTCCACAGCACCACGTCCCCAGGCCCAGAGCTCCCCCACCTCTTTAGGTGGCCCCAGTGAAGTCCTGCTCCCAGACAACCACAGGCTCTTGGCAGTCTTGGGAAGCAGAGAGACAGGTCAGAAGAAACCCCCAGTTTTTACTGATTAAAAACCCACCAACAGTGTTAACATGGAAAATCTGCAGTGTGATCTGTGATGTGATTGTCCGATCAGGGCTTTGCCTGGAAATCACCTAGGAAAGGAAATCTAACAAAACACATCATGGTGTTGAAATAAATTACTCCCAGGCTACGTGATCCTTTTAGGGGAAAGGTGAATGATGAAGTGTCCCGAGGGGGACAGTAATCAAGTGCAGATGACCCTGGCTTTTTCCTCCAGGGACCAGGGTCAGAGCTGGCTGGCTCCCAGCCCCAGCTGCCATTCCCTCCCACCCGCTAAGAAACCCTCCTGCTGCCATTGGACCAGAACAGTCCTGTCCATGACCCAAGGCTGCCTGCCGTCCACCTCTGACGCGGCACCCCACAGTCCCGCAGCGCCTGGCGCCCACTCCTCACACTCGGAGGTGCCCGGGGCCACAACAGGGACCCCAGAGCTCCATGGAAAGCCCCAGGCCGATGCAGACGAGGATGGGAGGCCCGTTCCCCTTTCCCACCAAGAAACGGCCAGAAGGCAAGGCTGCTCTGCCAAGAGCCCAGCCCCACAATGACAGGAAGCCATTCGATTTTTCTAAAAACACTGGACCCAAAGTGGGTAGGCCACAACATTTGCTGCTGTGCCAACCAAACCTCAGGAAGAGAAAGTGTGAGGAACTTAATTCATTTGATTTGGCTTCATTTTATGTATTAAAATAACGCTCCACAGTGCCCCTGCAAGCCCTCAGCCCTGCACAAACACACCCCTACCTTTCTGTTGGAACTGAAACAGGCTGGCATAAATTAAAAGCCATGGTTTCCCTGGGTTTGTAGTTCAGAGGCATCTAGAAGGCAGGACAAGAAATCTGGTGACCAAAAGGCAGGAGCAAGTCTTCCTGTAAGCCAAAAGGCTAGGCCTCTAATGAGAACCCCCAGGCCTACCTCAAGGCCAGGTCCCCCCCCCCCACCCTGCCAGAATGGTTCCGGGGGCGGGGGAGGAGTGGGGAGGGAAGAGCCGCGGCACAGGCTCCAGAGAGAGGGGAGACCCTACGTGCCAGGGACAGAAGCCGACAGCCTGGAGGAGAGAACAGGTAACACGGAAGACCCGCTCCACCGGCCCAGGTTGGCAAAAAACGTGGCTAGAACTGGATCCTGGCTCCTCAGGAAGCCGCCGGCCGCCCGGTGGGGCGGGGTGGGGCGGGGAGGGGCGGAGAGGGGCGGGGACGGGAGGGTCTACTGCAGCAGGCTGGCATTAAGGAGGCGGGAGCCGGAGCAGGCCGAGGGTGGTGCGGCTGGTCAAAGCAATATACATTATGTACAGATCTGGTTAATCAGTCCGCTCGGCCCGCAGCGTCCTCGCAGGGCCCAGGTGCCTTGGCCAGGGGGCAGGGGCACCAGAAGGGAAGGGCAGGTCATCCAACACCTTCTTGGCACTCAAGGGGGTAGGGGAGGAAGTGCCGACGGTGGCGCCTCCCGATACAAAAACGTGGAAAGAATTCTTTAAATAACGGCACGAAACTGAGACTGTCCCCGAGGAGCCCCGCGGGGCCTCGGGCCGGGGAGCGGCCGCAGCGCAGTCTCTGCAGTGGGCTGGGGGCATTAGCAGCAGCGCTTCTTCCGTTTACTGTTCTTCGTGAGCTTCACCACGTCATTCTGCTGCTGCTGCTGCTGTTTGGCTAAGTTGTCTTTCTTTGCGCGGAGGACCAGCTCTGTGATGCAGCTGAACATCTGTGAGGACGAAGGAGGCGGCGTGGGCCTCAGAGGCCTCAGAGGCCCGGTGTGGCGAGCCCCATCGCAGAGCCGTGTCTGCCCGCCGGCTCGGCCACCGCCCTAGGCCCCACTCCCCATTTGCTATTTCTACTCGTGAGGGCTTTTTGTACGTAGGTCCTCAAACCCTTTCCAGAAGGAGGTGGTCAGTTCTACAGGTCAAAAAGGAACAACATCAAAGCCCCGAGAGCTGTGTCTTAGGGAAATCAATCTCAGGGATTTTCCAGGCTTTCCTCTAAAGAGACCGAGAACCTCTCCACCTGGAATCCTGCTCTGGTGACAGGCCAGAGGAACGCAGAGCCTGCCCACTCCACGCCACATCACTGCACATCCCCCCAGAACCCTCCCCAGACCCCCCCCCTAAGACCCAGTGGATTCCCCCCCCCACTGCCCGCCAACCCACAGTCCTCTCCTCCACTCTGCCAGGAAAGGCATCAAGCACTTGACATAATTTGCTTCACTTACTGCTCACAACCCAGGAGGCAGGGACTCTCACCCCACCCCGATCTACAGAAGGACAAGGTAGCGACCTGGAGAGATGAAGTCCCTGCCCAAGGTCCCACAGAAAGGCCCGTCTTGTGATCCCAGCCTGACTCCGAGGCACCTGGGTTCCCTGTCACCGTGCAGTCGGGTGTCCAGGACACAGTGGGGGATCCAGGCTTCCCTGGGTCTCCAGATTCCACACACTGTGGGGCAAGACTCACCCGAAGCTACAAGCAAGGCCTGCTAGGCTTGTGGCAAAAGGTCCCACTTCTCTCCCACAGACTCACAACTACCTCCCAGCAGGCCTAGCAGAAGGGAAGCTGCCCCTGGCCGGAAGCTCAGCCGCTCTACAGGAGACCGGTCTCCCCAGAAGCCTCTGGGGGACGTGCAGCAGGGGCCGCCTGAAGCC